AGTAACCACCGTTTTGGCAACAATGGTTCAGTAACCACCGGTTTGGGAATTAATAACTTACAGCCTTACATAGGCCTGGGCAATTGGGCCCCCATTCGGGTTTCGGTTTCAGTTTTTTATATACCATAGAAACATGCCCATTCGGATTTTTATAAAGTTTCGGGCCGGGTTCGGTTCGGATTTAGTAACCTAGCTTGGTACTTGGTTTAACTCGATGCTACATCGTTTTCGGATTTTAATCGGACTTTCGGTTCTTCGGTTCTCAATTTGTACTAGTTTGCACCAAAACTTAAACAAATCAGAACGTTAAAACTAAATTAAATTGCAAAACATAAACATGATTCAAAGTTTCAAACAAAAGTAACACCATCTTATTGATATAAAAAACAAAACAGAGAACACTTTGATTCTGTTAAACAAAGGAAACAAAGAAACTGAAAAATAAAACCAAACTCTCAACAAATGAGAGACTTTATTCATTGAAATCAAAATCAAAGTACTAAAACATAAAACTGCAAACGCCAACCTTCAGCTCACCCTTCAACCTTCAAGCTCCAACATTCAATCATCAAGACGTTGAGCTTGAAATTCTGAAACACAAAGCAATGACAGGAAGTTAAACATTCATTACAAAAAGATAATAAAGATAAACTAACGTAAAGAGGAACACAAACCTTTCTCAAGCCGGTCAAGCATTTCCACATCATCAAGCATCTGTTCATTTGTAGGGACTTGTTCAGTTAGCTTGATATCAGCATGCATCCAGTGCTCAGTACACATAAGCACTTCAATCATATAGTGGGTTAAGCAACTCCGGTAAGGCTCAAGAACCTACCACTTGTGCTAAAAGCACTTTCTGAAGCAACAGAGGAGACCTGCATGGCGAGTAGATCTCTAGCCATTTCTACAAGAACAGGATACTTCAACTTGTGAACCTTCCACCATGAAAGAATGTCGAACTCAACACCCTGCAGGAGCGTCGGATTTTCAACTGGCTCTCTCAAGAACACCTCTAGCTCATCTCTTGTATCCTCTCCCTTTTCAGCAACCACCTCTTTGTAGACACAATCCATTCTCTCATAACCAAAATCTTCAATGACCAGCTTCATTGAATCCGTACCTTGTTCCTGAGTCTCTTGACTTGCCTGAGAAGATAATGCTTGATTCGACTGAGAGGACATTCCAACAGACCCTCTGAAACGAGTGTTGTACTCGTTGAACATGCACTTAAGAAGATCACCAACAGACCGAAGCATATCTTTAGACTCTAATCTCTCCTTCTCATATAACTTCTCAAAGCAAAGCTTTGCAAAATGCATCTTCTTCCTGGGATCAAGCACAGTCGATAATATCAACATCTTGTTGACATTCTTCATGCCATCCCAATACTTCAAAAATTTCTGTAACATATCTGATGCTTTCACCTTCAACTCAGCATCAAAATTGTTAGTCAATGCAGTCAAATTCCTCTCTATTGTTTCCATCTCACCATAGCACTTGTAGGAATTGACCTTTGATGAGGCTGAGATCACCAGAGTGCTGTTGTAAAACATAACTAGAAAACGTTTCAGCTTATCAACGGCACTCCAGTCTGTCGAAGCAGGTGGTCCACACCTCTTAACTCCATTGTCAGACTCCATGAAATAATCATTATACAGCCTATCCTCGGCTTCCATCTTGTCAAATGCTACCCTAAACTGAAGAGCCCTAGACATCATGAGGAAGGTTGAGTTCCACCTAGTCTTAACATCTAGAGGCAAGCTACCACGACTCATTCTCCCAATGGTGACTCTAAGATCAAATGCATTCAGCCTACTTGTAAAAGAACGCACGTACTATACAGAATTCCTAATCACTAACACATTATACCCAACTTCAGCCAAACCCTCCTTAGCAATCAGATTGATGATATGAGCAGAGCACCACATGTGTAAAAAACCACCATCTAAAACTAAAGCATCAAGAGCAACATTACGAAATTTCCTATCAAATCTCCCAATGGCTGACGTATTAGTAGTAGCATTATCTACTGTTATGCAAAATACCTTCTGAATACCCCAGTCAGCGAGGCACTCTAAAAGGACAGTAGATATCGTCTGGCCTTTATGGTCCATCACGTATTTAAAACCAATGATTAGCTTCCTCAACTGCCATGAATCATCAATAAAATGGGCAGTTATCACCATATAACTAGCACCTGCTAAACATGTAACCAAGAAAATGTGTAAGCATCAGTGTATCACTAACTTCTGAAACCAATGTAAAGTTTATATTATAAAATAACTTGCGAAACCAATATAAAAAAAAAACCAATATAAAGTTTATATTATAAACTAACTTGCAAAACCAATATAAAAAAATAAACTTACAAAACCCATATAAATTTTATATTCTAAACTAACTTGCGAAACGTGTATGATATCTGTAACGTGAGAAACCCATATGTCAGTTGTGAGTGACACTCTTTGTTTGGTTGTGCGGAGCATGTTTTTCAAAGCTTCCTTCTTCGCCACATACATTTCAACAATGTCTCTGGTTGCAGTCCTTCTCGAGTGAGGCTTGTATAAAGGTTAACCTTGCAAGTGAAGAGAGGAAACATGTCAGTAAAGTTACATATACACAGAAGATTAAAAGGGACAGGGTTTAGAAAATTAATTACCTTTCTGCTGAAGTGTTTCCAAGCCATGCTTTCGATGAACGAAAGAGGCAATTCTGCTAACACAATCAGCTCATTAGAAGCTTCTCTGAAAACTGTCTCTGAGACTTTTGATGAGTTCAGATTTCCCTCAGTATTAATCACGGTTTCATTCTTTCCCTGACTTGTAACCCATGTCTGGTACGATTTGCAGATGGTCAGATGCTTTTGTAGGTTTGATGTTCCTGACTTGGTAGCACAGGAGAAGACCTTCCGACAGTAGTGACAAATGCACTTGTCACGGCTGTCTTTGGTTCTGGTGTAATGCTTCCACACACCGGACCTAGGCACAACGATTTTCTTCACCTTCTTAGACTAAGAAGAGACTCCTAATGTCGCATTTGCATCTTCATCGTATTGCATTTCAACGTCCATACTTTCTTCATCGGCTTGTGGAAGTTTTGAGGATGATGAAACCATCCGTAACAAAAGCGAATATTCGTTAGAATCCTTGATATCACAATGCACCAAACACATATAGAACAATAACTTTAAGAAATTAAAACGTTCAAACACATTTGGTTGTGTACTAAGACATATCAAGAAATTAAAAGACCGTTGGCTTTATAGAACAATAACTTTAAGAAAACTAATGTCTTTCTCTTACATTCAAACACAATCGACTATCTAAAATGAATCATGACAGGAGTCATCCAAAAACAACCTAAGATTACTAGTTCACGCATACTGAAAAAAGAATTCAAAAACATGAAATTTAAACCACAAAAAGCAAAATATTATTAGAATGCGTAACCCAAAAACAAATAAATATCGAAATCTAAAAACTTTCAAACAAGTATCGACTACTCTAAATATGAGTACCTTTGATCGATTACTTTAGCTCTGTGATGGAAGAGAGACGAAGAGGTACAAGACATTTATAGGGTCTTCGAATTAGGGTTTCGGGTTCAAATTGAGCAAGATAATCGGGGTGAGATGCGAGAATTAGTTAGGATATGGGATAATCGAACTAAGGAAACGAGTTGTATGAGAATATTTGGGATTTCGAGCTTTGGAAAGGTTTCGGATATTTCGCATGCGATGAAATCTGTTGAGATGTGAAATCGAAAAGGGGAAAGGGGCTTAGGGTTTGAAAAGATCGGGTACCCAATGTAACCATTTAGTATCTCGGGTTTAAACCAATCCGACCCGACACCCGATATACCAAAAATTTAGGCCCATTCGGTTTTTCAACAAGATCCGGTCCCGATTCATATCACTTGAAACGGGCCGGGTTCGGTTCGGTTTATCGGATTCAGGCTTTTTGCCCAGGCCTAGCCTTACGTCTAGTTATGCGAGTTTCTTACCTCAATTTTCGGTTAGTTTGGTTCAATATAAAACTTACCAAATGAGCCTGAAATAAAGTTTAGTTCGGTTTTTTTGAAAATCCCACCAAATTTTGTGATATCGGTTTCTTATAATTTTGGAGGTTATTTTGGTTACTTTGTTTTGAAATTTACTTAGTTCGGTTTAGGTTTTTGGTAAGTATGGAGTATAATTATTTACTTTTAAGAGAAACAAACTAAAGTAACCGATTGCTAAACCCAAAAGCAGTGTATCATACCATATGGATAACAGCATCAGTGGCCATCCTTCTTTCAACTTCATTTCAGAGTTCAAACTCACGTCTTTAGAAGTAGTTAAAGCTTTCAACACTCTTTTTGTAAACTTAGTGAGGTTCGAGTGGTGATCACAGCATGTATGTGCCTTTCCTTGGAACTCAAGCTTGGATTATATCTATTAATTTTTCTCTCATTGATTACTGGAGACCTTAGATGATAGGGGTATGAGCTCAATGGATTCACTCTGTTTTGGCAGATACGCTAGGACTTGTACTAATAAACTGACATTTGCTACTACCAAAAGAAACTCCCTTTTCTTTGTGTCCATTCTAACGTTGAGAGTTGTTTTTTACTTATGCTTTTTTAACTGATCTGGGGAGTTTAATTGTAGGGAGCATGACACACTAGTCCAGACTATGAATCAGAGGGGAGTGACGTTATGTCATGTTACAGAGGTGGACAACCTCTTGAACAAGAAAACTATTATCAGATTCAGAAGACTACGCCCATACCAGCACTGAAAGCAACATATATAGCCCATTACTGAGACGGATACACAACATGATAGAAAAGTGGACCATAACCTAAAACTTTTTAAGATTTTAATACAAAAAACCCAAAACCAATGTCAATTTGAGTAACATCTACACAGTATCATTGCTCATTTCGAGATATATATATACATGGAAGAAGATCAACGAACAAAGAGCAAAACGACAGCTTATAGAACAAGAAACAAAACCCTAATCTCTTACCCATGGAAGAGGGATCATACTTGGAACATAAACATAGCCACAAAGGAAGGAGCCAGAATAGTCATGCACGTAGTCACGTTCTATCACCTTCTCATTTCTCACCCCATTCTCATCAATCTGACACATAGTAAGAAAAAACTTATTATCTTCTCCTTCAACTTTTAGGCAGTAAAAAGGACGAGCCGCCTCATCATGGAACCGTAACGCCGAAATATCAGGACCGGACAAACTGAAATATTTGCTAAACGAGACATCACCATCACCCAACTTGCTCGAAACCCACACCTCAATGGTTCTTGATCCGAGGTCTTGTTGTAGCAATGACAACCTATCTCCATTGAAAGATGCTAAGTGACTATTATCATAAGAACAAGGAGGACAGAAACATATATACTTAAATGTTTCATCCGAGAAATCAAAACAACGAATGAACTCTTCTTCATCCATTTCTTGTTCGAAAGCAACCCAATACATGTTACCCATCACAGCCACACAGTTACGCATGATAATCACACCCACATCAAGCTCCACATCAAGAGTCCTCCAGGAACTCGTCTTGCACTCGTAAATCTCAACCTGTGGTTCATCTTCATAACGCTCAATCTCCCAAAGGCGAGTAGGAAACCTCAAGATCTTGTAACCATCGCTAGCCTTGTCTTTATATCCAATCCCGTGGTAGTCAGAGCTCGTGATGCTTCGTGAGGGCTCGATCCATCTGAGGTTTCTCAAAACAGGGTTCCAAAGCGCGAGGTTGGTGTCTCTTGATCCGTCGTCTCTGTACTTCCACATTTTGTACTCAACCAGCATGAACCCATCGCAGGGAACCATGTGTGTGTTAACCAAACTATCAATCTTGAATGGATGTCGTAATAACTCGTTTGGGACTGGTAAAACAGAGTTTTTTCTCGTCGATGGATCCATGATTTGTACCGTATCAGTGGCTCTTAGGAAGTGTTCTTGAGAGCGTTGGAAGTGTTTGTGGATGAAAGTTTCGTCGGTGATGAGAGTGTACAGTTTCTTGCACGTCGGTTTTGATCGTACGAGAGCTTCCGCGGGAGTCTTGTAAAAGATTTCATGTATTATCTCCGGTGGGAGCAGAGACAACGACCACGAACGCCTTGGAGAAGCCATGAGCGGTTTGAAAGATTCGAGTCGTATCAGAGTTTCTTGAATAGGAAGAAGGAAACGACTAATAATAATGTGGTTCTTTTTACCGTTAAAACAGTTGAAGATTCAACCGAAACAAAAACACGAACCGGTTAACCTTATTGATTGAATGAAGCAAACGAACCGGTTTAGTAAGCCCCGGTTTTCTATGACATCATAGATTCTTAGATAAATCTTCTTTTTCTCCCTGTAATTCTTTAATCTCTTTTTGGGGGTATCCATTGACTGAATAAAACAAGAAAACCAGTTAAAGATTTTTTTAATAAAATGTTAAATTTGATTCAAAAGAAAGTATCTATTTTTCTTAAAGCAAAAACATTGTGTTGGATCTAATATTTATTTTGCAAGTTTTTAAATTAAATATACTTTCACACTTTATAGTTAAACCTATATTAAATCATTAATATTTATTTCTTTATATTACTATCTATGTTTCTAAATAATATACTTCTTTCTTTATACTACTATTAATGTTTTCAAACAACACTGTAGTTAATATTGTATCCAAAAAATACAAAATATTAGCTGTCATATTTTAATAATTTCTAATAATTTTACTTTAAGTTATTTAGATAAATTAAATAATTTTAAAAATTCAAAGCATTCATAGAATAACAAAAAAAATAAATAGAACTTAATTTTACAGGTTTAAATATTAAATATTGTTTATCCGTCAGTTCAATTGGTTAGTCACGGTGTTTACTGATTTTTAAATAAGTTTATTTATAAAAATCTAAATCGGATTATCGGATCACTGGATTAACTAGTTAATTTGCAGGTTCAGGTTGAACTTAAAAACACTAATTTAAATGAAAAAGATATTTTAAAGACATATTTTTCAATTAACAAAATATTTGTTAGTTATTAGTGAAATTTTCATTATAAAATGTTTTCGCGTTTACAAAACGCGGATCAATTCCATTTTATTTTAAATAATGTTATATTTCATTAAAATTTATATATTATTTTAAAAACTTTGAATATATTATTAACATCGAAAGTAACTATATTCTCAACTAATTATTTTATGTAAATAGTTAAATTTGAATTTGATTTCACACCTAGAACAAATGTAAAGAATTAGTGTTTTCACTGCACGATTACATCTATATAATACACTGCTTGACACTATTAATATAAAAGATAATTTTAATTGTTCTTTAAACATAAAATAAAATTGGACAAATTAGAAACTATATAAAACTAAATGATATAAAATACATCCGAAATATAAAATCCGCCCATGATAATATAGTAATTTGTTACACATAATTCAACCTAAACAAAAACATGAAATCTTTGAATCCCATTGACTGAATAATAAAACGAACCGGTTTAGTAACCACCGTTTTGGCAATGATGGTTTAGTAACCACCGGTTTGGAAATTAATCTTTGAACCTCATCGTCATCGACTGAGGGCCTGACTGGTTACAACGTAGCGATTGCGGTTGCGGTTGCGGGCGTTTGCAGATGCGGGAGATTGCGGTTTTAAGCGTTAGTAAGAGATTTATACGACTGGTTCAATGGTTAAAAAATATTGCGTTTGCGGGATACTTATGACTGGTCTATCATCAAATACAACATTGGTTAATTAATAAATTAACAAAATATATAGTTTATATAATTATGAAAATATTAAAATCATATTTTCATGATAAATATAAATTTTTTATTGAAAAAACTGCACTATTAAATTTTTAAAAAATTAAAGAAAATATTTTTTTGGAAATTTTATAATATAAATAATTCAGTATTTCAGTTATTTTAATTTCAAATTTGAATTGAATATTTTATTTTATATTTATATAGTGTTTTGGAAAAAATATTTTTTTATTCTCCGCTATCGCCCACAGCCGTAAACGCTAAATAGAACCAGTTTTTGAATTTTAGAGATTCAGAGCAATTTGAAGCGGTTTATAGCGTTTTCTGTGATTGTTGCAATACGTCAACAACCGCTATCAACCGCAAAAGCTGTGTTTGCAAGTGATGGCGGGAGAACCAGTCAGGCCCTGAATAAGGCAAACTAAGCGGTTTAGTAACCTCTGTTTTTTTTCTGCAACAACGGTTTAGTAACCACCTATTTGTGAATTAACAAGACCATGAGCAATGACTTCGATGAATCAAAAATTTAACTGTTTAATCCTCACAACAATGCTGTTGGATTAAAATACAAGTTGAAAATTTTGAACTTATTGAATACCAAGCGTGAGACACTGACGGGAGAAGCTAATGAGATAGTGAATTCAAAAAATATTAAATTTCAATTATTTTGCAATAAACAATTTATAAAAATAAAATTTATATCAGAATTTTCATGATTTTTTTATAATTTATAATATAAAGTACTCTTATTTCATTTGGATACAGAAAAAAACATGCCAATTCTCGCTATAATTTTTTTATTTTAATTTTTTTAGTTAAAATATAAATAAAATTTACTAAACATATGTATTTTATTATTTAAGTTAGTTACAATATAAATTATTTTTAATATGTAATTATTGATTTATAAAAGATAAAATATAATTCAAAATGGTAGGATAAGATATTGAATTTTATTAAATAAAATTATTGTAGAAATTAAAAATGAAGTAGATGTGTAAGAAAGATAAGATGATATAGAGTGTTGAAAATAAATTAGGGTGTTGAATTTACTAACATTGTAGATAGTCCAACTTACAGCTTTACCTCCATGACATTAAAAGCAGTGTACCATACCATATGAATAACATCATCATCCTTCTCTCAACTTCATTGCAGAGTTCAAACTCATGTCATTAGAATAAGTAGTTCATGCGTTCAAGACTTTTTGTAGACTTAGTAGAGGTTCTTTTGTCTGAACAGTGGTGATCACAACATGTATGTGCCTTTCCGTGGGACTCAAGCTTGGACTAGATCTCTTAACTATTCTGTCACTGATTACTGGAGACCTTGGATGATTAGGCGTATGAGCTCATTAGAATCACACTCTGTTTTGGAAGATACACTAGGACTTGTACCAATAAACTGACATTTGTTACTATCAAAAGAAAGTCCCTTATCTTTGTGTCCATTCTAACGTTTTGATAGTGGTTTTCAATTATGATTTTTAACTGATCTGTGGGTTTTGATTGTAGGGAGCATGACACACTCGTCCAGA